GGGGACTGGCCCCTGCTCGTCCCCCTGCCTCCGCCACTGCTGCTGACCCTACTTCCGACGCTATAAAATCCTATTTTCGGAGAAAAATCAGGGAAAAAGAATTATCGTGTTTCACGAGACGGAGCCGCTGCCACCTCCTGTTCTTCATCGGGAGGCCAGATCTGGAGTTCATTCGGGGCTCCGAAGAGGGGAATCTTCAATCTTCGTCATCATCAACTCTTCTCCATCGCCAATTCCATGATGCTCCTCACCAAGAGTGAGTAATTTCTTCATAGGCTCGCTGGTCGGTGAGGGAGTTGGATGAGATTCGTCATGTAATCGAGTTAGTTTTGTTAGGGCTTGATCCCTTATATTCATTATGTTCTGAGATTTATGTTGCTATGACTTTGTCATGCTCTTAATGCTTATTACATTGGGTCCGGGTGCCATGATTTTCAGATCTAAACGTTTATGTTATCATCATTATATCTATGTCCATTATTAATGTCAAAAATGACACAAAAATGATCCTTATGGCGGCTCCTGAAAGAGTACTCGCCGATTAGCTGATCGGTGGGGATCCTCAATATTGATGTCCATTATTAAAGACTTGATCCAATCAATCGGTTGTTCTTCTGTCTGACTCGATCGATCAAATAATATACACTCCGTGTCTATCATTGTCCTTTCACTTTGTTCTTTTGCAATGGTCGGTCGTCGAGATACAGCGTGCATCCAATTAAGCATTACATGCTGCACGCATTGAAATTTTTAAAATGTCAAGGTGGTGCTTTAGAATAGGGCCGGACTATTGTTTAACTAAAACAAACACCATATGGTTTTGGACACGAGAAATAATTTCAACTCGCCTAATCATTTCGGACTAGGTAGTTGAGCTGGCCACTTGTGATTGGTTAGAGCTACTTGTTTGTTCGTATTGTTGTGCTCAACGGCTAAACAAGTTAATTTAAAACCCGTTGGCTGGGCAGCTGAGGTAGCTGCCAGCCCACCCAAGTTCAAGCCCTGACTTTGACGTGTGGTGCTTGTAGAGTTTCTTCTATAAAAAAATGTCAACGGGGTTAGCTTTTGGGTTGGTCACATTTTTTTTAAAACTTCCTCACAAAAAAAGGGTAATTAAAAACAAAGATTGTTGGGATGAATAAATGAGCCGATCAAACGACCTTTCACTAAATTAAAGAGCCGAGCTTCCAACTATAAATTAAAGAGCCAATCGCTAGCTGATAGAGATCTCCGACCCACACAATTTAATACTCCACGCCTATAAATTAAAGAGCGTGCCAGGTAGCAAGTGTACTCCTGTTAGTTCTTGTCGTGTGCGTGTTCCACTCCACACATTACCATCCCATGGCCAAACTGCTCTCCTCCGCCTCGTCCCACGAGCTGCTCGCCCCGCCACCGGCCGTCTCCCTCCCCGTTGTCGACCTCTCCCTCAGTCACGACGAGGTCCGCCGCGCCATCCTCGACGCCGGCAAGGAGCTGGGCTTCTTCCTGGTCGGTCCAACCATCTAATTTGCTACTGGCATTTGATTACGTACGTGTGCATCATGATGATGCAGAGGCCAGGGTCTTCCTCCTCTTTTCAATTTTTCTTTTTGATTACATACGTATACATGCATGTAGGTGGTCAACCACGGCGTTCCTGAGCATGCGGTGCGGGATATGGAGGCGGTGTGCGAGGAGTTCTTCTGCCTCCCGGTGCTGGACGTGGCACCCTTCTACTCGGACGACAGACGCAAGCCCAACCGGCTTTTCTCTGGCACCACCTTCAACACCGGCGGCGACAAGTACTGGCTGGACTGCCTTCGCCTCGCCTCCACCTTCCCCGTGGGAGACAGCAAGAATCACTGGCCCGATAAGCCCCAAAGCCTTAGGTAATATATTTTCATGCCGTCATGTAATGGCACATAGGCCTTCGAGATTTATCTAGGAATTACTTAGTTCATGGGCCAAAACCCCCCAAGAATTTTACCTATATATCCATCTATCACAAGCAATTGAGCATCCATGCATGGTGGAGAAGTGAGTTTCTTCCTTGTGAATTGGCTTGCCTTTGGCTACAGAGAGGTTGTTGAGACGTTCTTCCTGCTGACAAGAGGTGTGGGCATGGAGCTACTGCGCCTTCTGAGCGAGGGCATGGGGCTCCACCCTGACTACTTCGATGGGGCCCTCAGCTGCGGTGATACCACCATCTCCCTCAACCATTACCCAAGGTGCTCGGACTCGAGCCTCGCGCTTGGGCTACCGCCACACTGCGATCGGAACCTCATCACCCTACTCCTACCTGGTGTAGTCCCCGGTCTCCAAGTCTCCTACAAGGGTGATTGGATTAACGTGGAGCCTATGCCAAATGCCTTTGTCGTCAACTTCGGCTTGCAACTTGAGTTAATGCATCAATGATTAATCTGGTTGGCTTAAGTTGCTCATTCCAGTCTGTCTATGGGATCAGTCATCATTATATGTTGGTTGTTTCTTGCAGGTCGTAACCAACGGGGTGCTGAAGAGCATAGAGCACCGGGTGATGACTAACTCGGTGATGCCACGAATGTCGGTGGCGGTTTTCATCGAGCCGGATGCGGATTGCCTCATCGGGCCCTCAGAGGAGTTCATTGGCGAAGGAAACCCCATGCGCTACCGTTCCCTCACATATCGTGAGTTCTTGCGCATCCACAATGTTGTAAAGCTGGGTTCATCGCTCAATCTTACAACCAATCTCAGCAACTCTCAACAAACACAAGACAAAAATACATGAAGAGCTAGCCACAGCCGATAAGCCTTCACTGTTATGTTGGTTGCCAGATCTCTCAACACGCATGCCGTGGGTATGTCAGTTACATCAAGCTACCTCCTCGGTGTTGTTAGGATATACATGCATGTTCTGTTGATGATACAAGTAATCTTACTCGTGGCTCGGGCGACTTGATTACAGAAAGTAAACGACGCAAAACTGTTTTGTATAGGAAACTTATCACCCATACTGACCAGTGTAATTATATCAATTAATAGCTTGGATGTGAAAAAGAAAAATAGAACAAAAATGTTGTACATTTGATAAACTCAAAGGAGTAACACAAATTTAGTAACCTTACTGTTGTACGAGGCCAGTGAGTAGTTACTTAGAGCCGAATTAGTTCGCAGTGCAGCTTTTCATTGAATAAAGAGAGGAGCAGAGGAGAAGTGCATGGATGAACCCCATGGGCCTATGAACCCACTTTGGAAAACCTATTTCTAAATGTCAAAAAAATCTGAAAAAAGTCGCTTGCATACTGAAGGAAATATGCCCTAGAGGCAATAATAAAGTTATTATTTATTTCCTTATATCATGATAGATGTTTATTATTCATGATAGAATTATATTAACTGGAAACATAATACATGTGTGAATACATAGACAAACAGAGTGTCACTAGTGTGCCTCTACTTGACTAGCTCGTTGATCAAAGATGGTTAAGTTTCCTAGCCATTGACATGGGTGTCATTTGATTAACGGGATCACATCATTAGGAGAATGATGTGATTGACTTGACCCATTCCGTTAGCTTAGCACTCGATCATTTAGTATGTTGCTATTGCTTTCTTCATGACTTATACATGTTCCTATCACTATGATATTATGCAACTCCCGTTTACCGAAGGAACACTTTGTGTGCTACCAAATGTCACAACGTAACTGGGTGATTATAAAGGTGCTCTACAGGTGTCTCCGAAGGTACTTGTTGGGTTGGCGTATTTCGAGATTAGGATTTGTCACTCTGATTGTTGGAGAGGTATCTCTGGGCCCTCTCGGTAATGCACATCACTTAAGCCCTGCAAGCATTGCAACTAATGAGTTAGTTGCGGGATGATGTATTACAGAACGAGTAAAGAGACTTGCCGGTAACGAGATTGAACTAGGTATTGAGATACCGACGATTGAATCTCGGGCAAGTAACATACCGGTGACAAAGGGAACAATGTATGTTGTTATGCGGTCTGACCGATAAAGATCTTCGTAGAATATGTGGGAGCCAATATGAGCATCCAGGTTCCGCTATTGGTTATTGACCGGAGACGTGTCTTGGTCATGTCTACATAGTTCTCGAACCCGTAGGGTCCGCACGCTTAACGTTTCGATGAAAGTTATATTATGAGTTTATATGTTTTGATGTACCGAAGGTTGTTCGGAGTCCTGGATGTGATCACGGACATGACGAGGAGTCTAGAAATGGTCGAGACATGAAGATTGATATATTGGAAGCCTATGTTTGGATCTCGGAAGTGTTCCGTGTGAAATCGGGATTTTACCGGAGTACCGGGAGGTTACCGGAACCCCCCGGGAGGTTAATGGGCCATAGTGGGCCTTGGTGGAAGAGAGGAGAGCGGCCAGGGCAAGGGCCGCGCACTGATGTCTACTACGCAACCTTCTTCTTGTAGACCTTGTTGGGCCTCCAAGTGCAGAGGTTTGTAGGACAGTAGCAAATTTCCCTCAAGTGGATGACCTAAGGTTTATCAATCCGTGGGAGGCGTAGGATGAAGATGGTCTCTCTCAAACAACCCTGCAACCAAATAACAAAGAGTCTCTTGTATCCCCAACACACCCAATACAATGGTAAATTGTATGTGACACCCCCGATTCAATCGTACACTAAACATGCACACAAATGTGTATGATCAAGATCAGGGACTCACGGGAAGATATCACAACACAACTCTAAAACATAAAATAAGTCATACAAGCATCATATTACAAGCCAGGGGCCTCGAGGGCTCGAATACAAGAGCTCGATCATAGGCGAGTCAGCGGAAGCAACAATATCTGAGTACAGACATAAGTTAAACAGGTTTGCCTTAAGAAGGCTAGCACAAACTGGGATACAGATCGAAAGAGGCGCAGACCTCCTGCCTGGGATCCTCCTAACTACTCCTGGTCGTCGTCAGCGGGCTGCACGTAGTAGTAGGCACCTCCAGTGTAGTAGTAGTCGTCAACGGCGGCGTTTGGCTCCTGGACTCCAGCATCTGGTTGCGACAACCAGAAAGAAAGGAAAGGGGGAAAAAAGGGGGAGAAAGCAACCGTGAGTACTCATCCAAAGTACTCGCAAGCAAGGAACTATACTACATATGCATGGGTATATGTGTAAAGGGCCATATCGGTGGACTGAACTGCAGAATGCCAGAATAAGAGGGGGATAGCTATTCCTGTCGAAGACTACGCTTCTGGCAGCCTCCGTCTTGCAGCATGTAAAAGAGAGTAGATTGAAGTCCTCCAAGTAGTATCTCCAAGTAGCATCTCCAAGTAGCATCTCCAGTAGCATCGCAGTAGCATAATCCTACCCGGCGATCCTCTCCTCGTCGCCCTGTAGAAAAGCGATCACCAGGTTGTCTGTGGAACTTGGAAGGGTGTGTTTTATTAAGTATCCGGTTCTAGTTGTCATAAGGTCAAGGTACAACTCCAAGTCGTCCTGTTACCGAAGATCACGGCTATTCGAATAGATTAACTTCCCTGCAGGGGTGCACCAACTTACCCAGCACGCTTGATCCCATTTGGCCGGACACACTTTCCTGGGTCATGCCCGGCCGCGGAAGATCAACACGTCGCAGCCCCACCTAGGCTCAACAGAGAGGCCAGCACGCCGGTCTAAACCTAAGCGCACAGGGGTCTGGGCCCATCGCCCATAGCACACCTGCACGTTGCGTACGCGGCCGAAAGCAGACCTAGCCTAGTGGCGTTCCAGTCCAATTCGGCGCGCGCCGCTCCGTCGCTGACGTCTGAAGTGCTTCGGCTGATACCACGACGTCGGGATACCCATAACTACTCCCGCGTAGATGGTTAGTGCGTATAGGCTCGTAGCCAACTCAGATCAAATACCAAGATCTCGTTAACCGTGTTAAATATCCGCGAACGCCGAACAGGGCCAGGCCCACCTGTCTCCTAGGTGGTCTCAACCTGCCCTGCCGCTCCGCCACAGTAACAGTCGGGGGGCCGTCGGGAACCCAGGCCCACCTCTACCGGGATGGAGCCACCTGCCCTTTCAGCCCCCCATCTCCGAACAGTATCATAGGTAATGTAACAGTGTAAAGTATATAGTATATGCCCGTGATCACCTCCCGAAGTGATTACAGCCCAGTAGTATAGCATGGCAGGCGGACAAGAATGTAGGGCCACTGATGGAACACTAGCATCCTATACTAAGCAGTAGGATAGCAGGTAATGGTAACAACAGTAGTAGCAAGGACAGGCCATGCAGCAGTATAGGATTAACTGAAAATAGTAACATGCTACACTACTCTAATGCAAGCAGTATAGAGAAGAGTAGGCGATATCTGGTGATCAAAGGGGGGGCTTGCCTGGTTGCTCTGGCAAGAGAGAGGGGTCGTCAACTCCGTAGTCGAACTGGGCAGCAGCAGCGTCGGTCTCGTAGTCTACCGGAGATAAGAGGGGGAAGAAACAATGAATACAATGCAAACGTAAACACGACGATGCGTGACGTGACAATGAGCGGTGCTAGGTGTGCCCTAACGTGGTATGAGGTGGTACCGGTTAAGGGGGGAAACATCCGGGAAAGTATTCCCGGTGTTTCGCGTTTTCGGGCAGAGGAGCCGGAGGGGGAAAGTTGCGAGTTCGATAGGTTAGGGGTGTGTGGCGGACGAACGGACTACGTATCCGGATTCGTCTCGTCATTCTGAGCAACTTTCATGTACAAAGTATTTTCATCCGAGTTAAGGATTATTTATTATTAATTTTCAAAGTTTTAATCATTTTTTTTAATTTATTTTAATTTGAAATAGAAGCTAAAATGCTACAAGTACCCAGCTCTGTGTACACAGATGTGTACCCAGAGGCTGACAGGTGGGCCAAGGGGGACCCAGTTGACCGGTCAAAGCTTGACTGGTCAACAGGGGTGGGGCCCCCTGTCATTCTCTTATTTACCTAATTATAGTTTAATTAGTTAACTAGCAGGTTATCTGAAGTTAAGTTAATTAAGCCGCTTAATTAATTAGTTAATTTTAATTCTTTTTATTATTACTTTTTTTAATCGTTTTCTGGGGCGGGTCCCACTTGTCATTCGGACAGGGGCCTTAACGGGTCGTGGGTGGCAGTTCTCCGGCTCCAGCCCGCCCGGTAGGGCGCTGCGGCCAACGGGTGAAGGGGGGCGGCGCCTGGCCCGGCGCCGGTGACAGTGGCCGGAGCGGGGCGGCACGGCGAGGTGCGGTGGTGTGAGCGGGCGCGCACTGGGCCGCGGCTGGGCGAGCGCGCGCGACAACTGGCACGGCCAGAGGCCCGCGAGCGCGGCCAGTGAACATGGTGGGCGCCGCGACGGACGAGCGTGGTCGACGCGCTGTGAGCGCGAGCGCCCGCGCGGAGGGGAACGGGGCGACGACGGCAGCGAGACGCGGCGCGGGACAGACGGGGGCGCGGTGACTGCGGGTTCGAGTGTGCCCCAGGCGAGCGAGGACGAGGACGGGGACCGTGCGGGAGCGAGGGCAGAGGAGGGAAGGAGAAGGGGTCCTCACGTGCGAGGAGAGAAGGGGACGACGAGGCCTGGTGAGGCCGTCGAGGAGGAGGACGAGGAAGCGGGCGACGAAGGCGGTCCAACGAGGTGGTCCGACGACGACGGGCGACGGCGTCGGGTCGGGGCGGAGGAGCTTCGGGCGGCGGGGACGAGATGATGTAGAGGCGTCCGACGAGGTGGAGGTAGACGGGGGTGGCTCCGGCGATCGTGGCTGGCGACGGCGGTTCCGTGCCCCGATCCAGAACAAACACTGAGGGGGAGG